AAAATGCATTCTTTGAAAATAAACAGGCTTTAGTGCATAGATTTCTAAAATTATCAAGACAGTATTTTATGCAACCATTAAACTTTATTAAAATAACTTTCAATAACTTTTGAGGAAAGTCTCTATTTTATTGTTTTTTTAATTTTATTGAAAAGTACACTGGTGTGATCTGTACTAAAACAGTAAATGCAATGCTAGTTGTGTCAACAGGAGGATGTAAGCACTAGTCCAATGCTGCAGCTAATATCTGAATATTTCATAACTCATGAATAATACAAAATGTTAGCTAGCTTATCGTAGAGCGGCTACAGCTGAGCTCCAACATACTTCCAGCTTAATACTCAGCTGTTCATGAAGTTGTACCAAATCTCTACATTTATCAACTTTCAGTCAATAATCTGCCCTATTTAATTCTTGTTGCAGTTGTTTCACAAAACAGAATTCTTCCTACTGATCAGAACCCATCTGATCAGGCCTTGAGTTTGACACCCCTGTGTTGGATAAACAGTGTTATGTAGTATATTTAGTATATTTAAAAAGAAAAGAAAACCTCACAACTTAAGCACCATGCTCTACTGGCACTGTAAATTTATGAAAGAAGATTGTTTCATAACTTTATGACTATTCATTGTAAATTTGTGTATATGTGTGGCTGCTTTAAAAAAGTTTCAAAAACCATAATTAATGTAAATTTGATGGTTTCCTGAAAAAACTTATTTTAAATGATTCACATATTCTGGCCATTAAAAATTCATACAAATTGCCAAATTTCAAAACAGAGTGCTTTCAGAAATGTATATAGGTAGTTCTTGGCTTCATTTACTGACCATTCAAAGTTACAGCAACACTGAAAAAGTGACATGATGTTTTTCACACTTGTGACTTTTGCAGCATCTCCATGTCAGGTGATCAAAATTCAGGCGCTTGGCAGCTGGCATGCATTTTTGACTGTTCCAGTGTTCCAGGCTCATGTGGTGCCTTTTGCAACCTTCTGACAAGCAAAGTCAATGGGGAAGTCAGATTCACTTAGCAATTGTGTTACTAATTTAACAACTGCAGTGATTCACTTAACAACTGTGGCCAGAAAGGTTTTGAAATGTGGCAAAATTCACTCAACAACTGTCTTGCTTAACAAGGGAAATTTTGGGTTCAATTTGTGGTTCTAAGTCAAGAAATACCTGTGAAACAGTGTTGTGAAAAGTTGAGTTTATCTACTGCAGTATTTAGGAACCTCTGGCTTTCTGGATATTTCCAAACTACAGCTCCCGCACCCATATATCCTGTTTTGAAGCATTGTGGGAGTTGTAATTCAGTATTATCTAGAAGCCTACAAATATTTGCCCTAATTTAGTGAATCTTCACCACCATATAAACAAGCTTCTCAGAAGGCTACAAGAAGCAGCTTTGTTGATACATAAGCTAGTTCCATAATGGCTTCAACAAACTCAAACACAAGTTATTGTTACAATGTAAACTAAGCAAAACAAGGTAATTTTGAAAAACAGATGGACCTGGAAGGAAGCAAATTAAAAGTGAGTCCATATGCTCTTTGTCTGTACTCCGTTGATGAAATATAATATTTTTGTAAAGCATATAAACTGAAGACTGTGATGGGTATATATAATGTTATACTAGAATGTATTTACATTGTTCCCTCAGAAGCTTGATTTATAACTGCTGATAAATTTTTTTTAAAAAAATACTGTACTTCTGGACAGACAAACAAAGGAGCACAACTCTGCTGTTGTTTCTGAATGTCATTTTAAAAGTTCAAATGATTTCACTCTTAATCTTATAACTGCAGATATTCTGTCAGCTTTTGTCCCCAGGTCCTCAGTACTGTGAAAAGGTGGTTTAATTTATCACCAAAATAGCAATACTTGGATTTTTTTTTTAAACCTATTGATTTTTAAATTGTTTTTCCCAATAAAATGATCACAACTCTGTGTCTCATGAACAAAAGGTTCTTAGAAGAAGATATCTGGAGCTTTTCTTCAGCTGTTTTGTTCCTTAAGGGAAGAAGCTCGAGCTATGGTTAAAAATTAAAGTTTTAAAAGATGTTCCAGAATTTTTGTGATTGCAACAGTTTCTTCATGTTATGGAAATAGACAGTAATCAACTTTACAATTAAAGTATCATGTATTAATATCTTTGTAGGGTGCTCTTCTTAAAAGACATACTAAGAGCAATTACTTGAAAAAATTAGCAATTCTCAATGAGACTCATTTAATACAGCCATCCATTAAATGATTCTATGTTTACATCTATGAGCTTCATTTTGGCCCCAGAGAGGAACTATGGTGATTTATAGTATAAAATGTAAAGTAGTATCAAAATACACCTATTTAGAAAACAAATCTTAAAAAATAGAGAGTGAAATGAATTATACGTAAAATAATCCAAAAAGTATGTGAAATGAGAAAGGTTTAATGACCATCCAAAGCTAGGATTATTAGATACCTGAAAAAGCAAAGGAGGCCAAGTTAGGGGAGGGGGGGGGGGACACACTGTTTATGTTTCTTGGCATCAGCAACAAAAATTACATTGAAAAAAAAATGCAAAAAAGGATGAGATATATATGTGTATGAAATCATTTTTTACAGTTTCATAAAGACTGGCTCTTCAATTGCATGAATGTGCTAGAGCTAGTTAGACAGGAAAAGCCTTCAGCATGTAATTGATTAAAATCTTGTCAATTTCAGGCAGCAGTGGAGGGTATTAGAGGTTTGTAAACACCCACAATTGGGAAACCTAAGTATAGCAATTGCTAAGTGGGAAATCATGTGACCATGACTTACTTTTCTCTTCCCTACTCCCCCTATCCTTTGGAATACTCAACCCAGCAGTGCAGGGATACCTGACTGATAAGACTAATCAACTTCACACTTTCCAGCCTTTGTTTAGCCATTCCTAGCCATTCTCCCACCCTCTGGAATATTCAACTGATGCTGGGATAATTAGCAAGAAGAGAATTAATGTTTGTATTTATATTCATTGAAAAAGAAGAGAGTAAGCAGGCACATAACATAGAGTACATACCAAAAACAATGCCACCAGTTGTGAATGCAGTTGGCAAACAGCCTGTGTATTCCCCGTTATGTGTCTGTTTATTCTCTTGTAATCCCTTTTTCTCCAACCTGTCTACTCTGCAAAGGAGATAGGAGAGAAAAACATGTTAGACAACAAGTCAATGAATTTTGACTGGCAATCATGTGACTGAAAGACCCTGCAAAGATAATAAATGCAGGCATTGGTCATAGGTTTTTTTTTCAGTACTACCCTAAATTCAAATAATTGCTGAACAAAATAGTCAATAAGCAAAGAGTACAGTTTTGGCTATAATATAATTAATGTATTGTCCAGAAAAGGGAAGACAATTGGTAGAATCCATTCTTTTGCCTTTTATTGTTTATTCAACAAATTAAATAGTTAAACAGGATACACATGAACCAATACTGTAATTCAGCTACTAAAAAGGCAAATACTATATCAGGAAGCAATAACTGCAACATATAATTCAAATCAGAAGTAGTAGTTTTTCCAAACTATGCTACCATAGTCAGACACCTTTGGGAGTATTGTGCCCAATCCTGGATTCTATAATTGAAAAGAAACAATGTCAAATAGGACCCAGTTTAGAGGAAGGCTACCAAAATAAAGGGTACAAAAAACCAATCCCTATGAAGAAGCATTAAAAGATCAGGATATTTCTACACAAAAAATTTACTAAGGATGAAAAAGTAACACCCAGAAATGGGTGGATTCAGTCCCCATTGCTCTAGAAGGCAGGATTTCAACCAGTGATTTAAAACTACAGGAATGGGGTTCAAGCTAGGCTTCAGAAGGATCTTCCTGATTGTATGAGCTATTTTTTACCAGTTACCAGTGGAACAGGCTGCCGCATGATAGGTTTGAACAGAGGCTTGGATGACCTTCTGTCAGAGATTCTCTGATACATCTTCCACCATGGATGCTCTCTTCAATGCTACAATTTTAAGATCTTAAAAGTAAAACCATTATATTGTGAATATCCAATTTACTCCTAGATCAGGGGTGTCAAACTCACATCGTCATGGTGGCATCATATGACATATCGGGACTTTTTCCCCCTTTGCTAAACCGGGTGTGGACGTGGCCAACGCATGACACATCTGGCCTACGGGTCAGGAGTTTGACAGCCCTGTCCTAGATGACAACAAAGAATTAAATGCTTTTGAATTGAAAAAATGATATCCTGCAAGCAAGGCACTAACTTCCAACAGCATTTCTATTTGGAATACTGTAGTTCTCAGCCACAAATGACTTTAATAAACTGTTTTAAATGAACATGATTACCTCTATAAAGTGTACTATAAGTCTTGTTAAAGGGGCTTCCATAATAGGTTTCAAAAAAAAATCAAGATGGAAGCTATGATGGTGCAATCAGGTCCTGCCTTTTTGCAGCACACACATAAAAGGTTGGCAAGATGCGCCCTCTTGCGGCCAGGAGGACTGCAGGTGGGAAATGGGAACGGTACAGCTGGCATTCCCTAGTTGTAGCTGCCACTTTGACTTTCTTGCTATCCCTGCAATGATTAGGAACTGTGTTTCAGACCACCACTTTGGGTTTTGGCATTGCAAACCATTTCACAGCGTTATTATTCAAATGCAGTAATGGCTGAAAAGTCGATTAAGTCTTCCGTATCAGCTTTGCCCATTAGTAACAGAGCAGTGGTGCTTGAAGATAAAAGACTATGGTAATTTAAAAGGACAGAGATTTTAAAAACGCACTCCCTATAAGTACTGTACCCACAGCCATAGAATATGGGGAAACGAGAGGTACACGACCTGCCCGTTCTTTAAGGCTACTAATGATTCAGATGATCAAACAGGCGGATAAAATAATGATAAAATAATAGACCGTTCCCATTTCCCACCTGCAGTCCTCCTGGCCGCAAGAGGGCGCCTCTTGCCAACCTCCGCCTAGGGCCGCCTCTGGCCTCACTTCCGGGCGGTTGCGCCCACTGGCTGGAGCTCGGTTTTCTTTTTCTGTTTCTTCTTCAGCTCTTGTCAGGCCGGGCCAAGGTGTCTCTCGCACGGCGGGCGAGGGCTGCCGGTCTCGGGCCGGGCCCTGACTGAGGTGGCGGGGAGTGGGCCGCGCGAGCCGCATATGAGTGGATGGAGCCGGGCTCTGGGCTGCAGCGGAGGGGGCCGGGGCTCGGCGGCGGCGGCGGAGGCGGCGGCGGGCTGGGCTCGGCCGGGGTCTCTCCGGCGCTATCGGGGCCTCAGGGCCGCCGCAGGAAACAGCCGCCGCGGCCGGCCGACTTCAAGCTGCAGGTGATCATCATCGGCTCGCGAGGCGTCGGCAAGACCAGCCTGATGGAGCGCTTCACGGACGACACTTTCTGCGAGGCCTGCAAGTCCACCGTAGGTAGGAGAGGGGCCGGGGAGGGAGGGAGCGGCAAGAGGCGCCCGATCGCGTGACAGGCGGATGCGGGGGAAGTGGGGGGTCGGGGCGGCGGGCGGCGGGATGGGGGCAGCCAAGGGCGCCGTTCAGGGCTGGGACAGGGTTGGGTTTGCGCTCCTTGAACTCTTCCTCCACCTTCTCTTTTCCTGGGGAGGCTGCTTCCCACTTATGCCGGGAAACGTCCCCGGCCAACGGCTGGCCTGAAATCCTCTCCCCGTTCTTCGCTTCCAGCAGACGCGCCCAAGCGACCCAATCGGAAAGGCTGACAGTAACCCCCCACTTGCAGGATGGATGTCGAGGAAATGCCACTTTTAGAACTTTGCTTTTTAAGAGATGTGTACCTTCCAACTCTCGGGGATTTTTTTTAAAAAAAATTATTTATTTATTTATTTTATTATTTATTTTATTTGTCAAAAGCTTACAATATAACAGAAACAAGAATAAACATAAGTTTAAATACAAGAAATAGGAATTAACTGGGGACAATAGGACAGGAACAGTAGGCACGATTGTGCTATATTATTATTATTGTTATCACCATTATTATTATTATCATTATTATTATCATCATTATTATGCAAACAAAGAACCAAAATGCTGGATTCCCCAGCTGCAGAATTCTGGGAGTTAAAATATATATATATATATACATACACGTCTTAAAACTGCCTCGAATTGAGTAACACTGATAAGAGTTCCTTGTTTTATCAACAGGATGGGAAAGGCGGTATTTCTTAATTCGTAGGGGGAAAGAGATGAAAAATAAGGCTGCCAATACATCAGTCCTTTTATATACTTTTGTGGGCACTTAAATCTGGGATATTGTGCCCGGCTCTCATCATAAGTAATATTGTTTTGCTTCATAAAGTGTAAATTAAGAACCTACAATCCTTGATTAAAATGACTAGAATTATTCTTTCATAAAGGAATGTTACAAAAATTTCTGTAATTAGGATTGGTTATTTAGAAGATTAGACCTTGGACCAGTCACTCACACTCAGCCCTAGGAAGAAGGCAATGGCAAGCTACTTCCAAAATCTGGACAAGAAAACTGCAGCAATTTGTCCAGACAGTTGCCACCTCAAAGACACCCTCAGAAAAGATATTTAGTGACTATTAAAAAGTTTTTTTTAACTAAAGATCTTCAATAATCACAATACAGTATCAGTCCACTGCTACTGTGGGCACATTTTGAAGCTCTTTTTGATAATTCGGATACAAATTGCCATGGTCAAATGTGATCTATCTGCAAATATTTACAAAGCTTTTTTTTAAAGGCATGTGGCTATAGATCTCCCTTCCTTGTTTTATTTCTGGATTGTTGTGTTCAACTGCAGCATGATAGCTTTTTCTAATTGGAACAAGCCAGAGAGAGAAACTTAAACATATAAGATTGTCTCTTTGGCTTGGTATCCAGAAAAATCTGTACAGTACTAACAGATCAGAGAAAGGTTTACTTTTAAAATTATCAACGATTTGAAATACTCCTTTATAGTTTATATGTTTTTCCTAAGGAAAACTTGGGTTTGTTGTGTGGCAGTGCTATGAATATTTTTTTTTAGAAATAAATTTCACTGTTTGCAATAGGATTTACTCCAAGGTGTAGTTAGGACTGCAGCCTTAGTATTTTAATACAATTCTTTTGAGTGAAATATTTATGGATTACTTTTAGTAATTTATAGAATTCCTGCTTCTAATAATACTTCACACATTTTTTTTGTCTCTTGGGGAACCTCTGGGTTTGTATACTTAATTTGAATTGGAAATAATTTGTAGTTTGAGTTAATGAAATGATGTTGATGAACAAGCTGCTTTTTGTAAAAATTATACTGACAGTAGTGACTTCTTAAAAGAAATATTCCCTGATATGTCTTGAAAACCACTATCCTGAATTACACTTCAGAAACCAAATACATAGGTAATTCTAGTAGTTTATTGTACCTATAAATAGATAAATTATTCTTATTGGAATAGACACATTAAGAAATTAATTTCCTTAATTGGACCAGCTCAGATTTATCTTCCCTAAAATATTTATGAAATAAACATGTTTATTGCTTGTTTCACAGGCTATTTCATAGTTGTGGAAAAAATACAGCTGAAACTTGAGAGGAAGGGGATGGATTTGGCTTTTAAGGTGATTGATACCTTGTTTTAACTGTCGGCATTCTTTATTCCCATGAATTCATTTACTGTAGTAGAATCTTAAGGCAATCATAATATTTAACTCAAGATCAATGATGTTTGCATGCTTGTGAGACTTTATAGGACTGTCCACTATATAAAATTACAGGGAATTTTTCTATATGCTTCTGATTTTACTCATGTTAATGATAGATCGATATACATTTAAATGGATTTATACAAGATTCACTGAAATATATTTTAATACATATGATTTGCATATACTACATTCATTAGATTTTTAAATATGATAGTTCACACTTTTGATTTTTTTCTTTTTTATGATTAAAAGATGGATTTCTTTTTATTTAATGTTGGGTTAATTGCTTTAAATCCATGTAACAACTCAGAACATAGTTATATTATAGGTATAACAACATTACTTTGGCTTTGGTCCTATACCTTGAAGCATATCTCGTTGCAATCAGGAGGGCTTACTTCTGTGTAAACATGTACCAGGTTGCAATACATGTTACTTTTAATAGTAACTTACCAACACTCATATGTACGCTAACTTTAGAAACTGGAAACAAAGATTGCAGAAGTTAAGGAATAGCTCTGACTCATATAATTTAGTTAAATTTTGTACTTGTTTTTAGTATTTTAGTAGCTGGTATTTCCTACATAATGTACAAAATGCCTCTTAAAAATCTGGAACAGGAAAGTCAAATCCATTTCCCATCTTCCTATCTTGTGCTTTACAGTATGAAAATGGTTATTATGCCACACAGTCAGCCAAAATGATAAACTCTATTTCTGTAAACCTCTTCTCACATATCCACACTTTGGTTGGTTACTTGATTTGTTGGTTCATTACTTGGTTACTTAGTATTCTGTAACTTGGTTACTATATAATACTAAGCATTATATACATACATAATACACATAGTCACACTTTGCTTGGTTACTTGGTTACATGTAGCTTAGTTTACTGCATAATCCTAAACCTCTATATGAATATACAAATTACACATGTAAGTTTTGGGGCAAATTTAAATTGTCTCTTTTCTGCATTGAAGGGCAATTCAGAAGTTAGTTGTAAAAAACATGTTTATTTGATGTGCTTCATTTATCTTTTTCAAGAATAGATGCAGCTGACATGTTGAGCAATATTTCCCTAAACGAATTGCAGGAATAGTGTCAACCAGAAACATTTCAAGCTGCAAACTGCAACTCCTCAGGTCTTCCTACACTATCCTAAGTAGTCTATTTCCCAAACCAATTTTTCCATTAATCATCAGTGGTTTGTATTGACCAGTCTACTGCTATAGCCCAACAGTACTATAAGATTGCCACCAAGATTTTAGCATTTGGCATCAGTTGAAAGGAGGGAGAATATATTGGTAATATTTAATGACAGAATTCAGAATTACCTTTCCTAGGAGCTTCCAACAGCCACTTAGTAAAGTTCTGTTGAGCCCATCTGGAACTAAGCTGCAGAAGTGGTGGGTAAGCATGCGCATGAAGCTGCATATGTAAAAGTGGCATGCACGCACGTGAAACCATCACCTCTGCCCACTGCCTCCACCAGTCCGCCGAGCCAGAAAGATTGGAGACTACTGCTGTATAACCTATAAAGAAAAATCATCACAATCCCTGACACCAATGTCCCCAAAATATAAGTTTGAAGACAACTTTAGTATCTTAAATGTAATTTGGTCTAACACCATTACAAAGTAATTATGAAAATGAAATGGACAAAACCTCCTTCAACAAACCTAATACTTCTTAAGGCAATAGATATAAAGGCTTTACTACTGTATTTATAGGTAGTCTTAACATATGACTGGTTATTAATGACTGGTTGAAGTTTCATCAGCCTTGGAAACAACCTGGCTATTTGTGAAACTTCCTTCCTCTATAGTCACATGTTCATGATCTAGGTTCTTGAACTGGTTGTCAAGTGTCCCACAATCATGTGATCGCCCTTTGCAATCTTTGTTGGCTTCCGCTCCCCACCAAATGTGTTTCTTTCAGTGTGTAGAGAGGAGCTAAATTCCATTGGTCAAGTGGAAACAGCTCACGTTCTGAAGATCTCAGTTCCATTCCTGCACCCTGCTGAAGTTGGTCCTTTCTGTGCATAGTGCACATGGAAAAGATCTGACATTCTCCCGCAGGGTGCAGAAACAGAGCTCCAATTTTGATAAATTCAGCTTTGTTTCTTTACCCCGTGAAAGAAGTTCTCTTCCATATATGAAGACCGCTGACATCCTTCAGCAGGAAGTTTTTTCAGCCAGCCCTAGAGACATGAGGGAGCTGAAATACTGCAGGATTTTTAGCTCCTGAGCTGAGAGGCAACACAATAAGTTGCAGGGTGTCTCAGGCACATGGGGAGGCCTGGTATAGGCCCCATATGAGTCTCTCTTCATTCAGGGACTGAAAATTCTGCTTGGATTTTGCAGGGAGGATTTTCAGTCTCTGGGCAGACAGGTATTTGACATTTTTCCTTAAGGAAGGATAGAATTGGTTTGGTTTCTTTGAAACTGGCTTGTCCACATCTAATCAAGAAATATTTTTCATTTAATCCCCATATAAAAAGCCAACATTTGAGCCTCTGCATTTCTCTATAAAGGTTTTTGTTCCAAGTTCAGATTCAGATCTACATTGTGCAGGCAAACATAGTGAAATATAAGAATATATTATACTGGAATCAAATAACCCATTGCCCTAAATCAGTTGGCAAGCAGTAAAATGAGCAATTTACTTAAGTATGTTGTAACTTTTGGTTTTAAGACTGAACAACCATTTATTCTGGATTGGATGATTTGTGACAGCTAACAAAATTTATAGTATACTAAATAAATGCTGGTTTTGAAATAAGAATCGAGATCAGTGTCTCATTATAAACATCTGAAGCAGTATAAGAATAAGCAAAACAGGGAAGATTTTATTTTATGATTAACTTCACTGTTGTTTTGGGATAATAAACCAATTGTGATTCTTATTATTTTCAATGATTATATGCCTTGTAAGATTTATTTACTAGGTTGCAGGAAAATTGCTGTGAGAATTCCACATGATTTTATCCTTGCATTTTTCAGAATACACTGACCTCTATGCTAATAGGTGTGACTTGTAGAGTTACACAGCTGTAAATAGCACTGATAAAACATGGTTTTGATTTTACAGTCTATTGCAGCATTATGAAGGCCATCTTTCTAACATCGATTTTGTCATGCCAGGCCACATCTAATTCTGTATTTGCTTTTTTGCCCTTTGGCCTACTTGTTCCCCAGCTGACATAGCTTACATAGATTGCAGTTCTATGCACTGCCATCTGGGAATATACTGTAATGGATGCGAAGAGATCACTTCTGAACATGACTTTTGGCTTTTTCCTTCTATCATGAGTAGTAAATAAATGGGAATTGCCAACCCCTTTAATTGCTTTCCTGTGCATTTTTTTCCTCTGCCTGTCATAATTCTCACCTGTCTTCGTCAAGAAGTGCTGCTTTTATGTTTTTGTAAGCAATCCTTGGGGTTCCTGTCCTAATACATAAACAGTGCCAAAGAATAACTGCTAATAATTGTCTCTAAAATAGTACATTTAATTTTCCTTCCTGTGACTTAGAGATAAAGCCTCTAGATTGGGGGAGAATGTAAGTACCTCAGACTGTTTTAGCCTTTTGTAAGCATTTCATGTTCAAATGGAACGAAAAAATAAAAGTGGCCAATGACAATGACGCAGGAAGGCGAGAGACAAGCAATTATGTAACTCTTAGATCAGATAATCTACATCTAGAGACTTGACTTAACATGTCTTAAAATCCAAAAGAGCAACTGGACATGTATCAGACTTTCATTGGTCAATTTTTTTAAGAAAATTTGACCGATTTTTTTCACGGATCAGTTTTTTAGAAAATTATCAAATTATTACGCTTTAACACCTACTAGAAAAGTAAAGGACCAGTATTCCTTCAGGCACATAAAACAAGTTGAATGCTCTGCAGATCTTATCAATATTTCTAAAAACTGTTTCTGTCATATTTTATGTACATTAGAGAACATTGTGTATGTAGCATATCTTTACTTTGTCAGTGAATAATGTTTTCTGTAAGTCTAATGTATTTTTAATAAATACTGTTTGAAGCCATTGATATGGCAGTCATGACCGACCATTTATTTCATCCATTTGCAGTGTATTCTTAAGATCAGATTTCATTATACTATGGTATAAGTTACAAAACTTGGGGAATATATGATATATGGAATTAATAGAGGATCATTTTTTGAAGTTTTGGGTTTTTTATTGACAATAGTGAAATAATATCACAGAATGCCACATACGTTCTATGAGCACACTAAAATTGAACAAAATTCCTTTCAGTAAGAAATCAGCCTTGATTTTTCCAGCATGATTTTTCCTTCCACTGAGTTACAACAAACTAGAAGTATTTTTTTAATGTAAAGTTTCAGATGGTTCCTGTAAAATTGGTCAAGGTTTGAGGCATGTAAGTAAAGTAATCATAACATCGAAACCTTTATACCTATTGAAAGCATTTTCAGTTTTGCAGTGCTTAAATCCATATACAATATCTGTCTTTTATCTCCCTGATAGTACAGGTCCTATGTTCAGCTTGCTTATCATACTTGTATTTGTATTTGCTGCTTATTCCTCCTCTTTTATTTACTGTATTTTATTTATAGGTGTTGATTTTAAAATCAAAACAGTAGAACTAAGAGGAAAGAAAATTAGATTACAAATCTGGTAAGTAAAAAAAATGCAACCAGCAGAATGTTCTTTTAAGTTTTATGTTCTTGCATGGTTGTGGTATGCTACCTAATATAATTAACTTTTAACTCACTTGCTGCTGAATTTTTTTCTCTCACACAGCATATAGCCATAGGAACAAGCAATTTGTGAAGCAGTGATCAGAAAGTAGAAAGACTAATTTGAAATGGACATATTATATTATTTATTGAACTGTTGTGTTCCTATCTTAAGCCAAATCAGTTTACTACAGTAATTCATAATCATTAAATTATTGCTTAAGTTACTTAAAAATTATTAAATTTATATGCTGCCCAACTTCAAACTTCAGCAACTTCAAAAAAGATCAATTAAACAAGGAGAATATATTTTAATGATTTCATATTTGAGCAATTATCAATTGTTTTTTGGCTTTTAAAAAAAGCTGAGTTGGGTTGTCTAGCTTTCTTTTTACAGAAAAACATACATTCTCAAGGAAAAATAATAGTGCAGCAATTCCAGCATCATTTTTTGAATCTAAATATTATTTAATTGGTAGTTTATTCACAGTATTACACTTGGATAGAGTTAGGAAAGACCCTCCTAGCTATAATACTTGCTTCTATGAAAAAATGAAATGAAAAAAATACTGTTCTGTGATTGGTGATTTCTAATAAGAAAATATTTGATTTTAATTTCTTATGGCCAAAATATGTGTGATGATTGTCATAAGCAATTTCATTTCTGATGAAATTTTAAACTAGCACATTACATATCACAAAATTATTCACAGTGGTGTGAAACGAGCTGTTGTGAGAGATTAATCCAGCTTTATTTAGACAATCTTCTGTAAGCTAGCTAATGTTATTCACCCAGTTTATTGATAGTATTTCTTGCATAATTAATAGTAGTAATAACTGGTAGATATGTTAACAGTCTAGTAGGGATGAGGGGGATGCAGTGGTTGTTTGGATAATACCATAGAAACGGTTTAGTGATACTTCTCTTGCACAGATACAGCCAATTCAGTTTACTAACTCCTCTTGGCAGGTCACCATCAAGTCTGTTTGTCGCACCTTGTGTTTGTCTTGCTTCCATCTGAGTTAATTGCTGTTGCATCTTTCGTATCATCCGTTACTCTAATATTTGAAAATTATTGGCATGACTTCATTCCTCATCTGTGTTCCCATCTGGAATCCTAAGGCCACAGAATTGGTACTTGAGCCAGAATGATGGTTAGCCGTGATGGTTTGTACTGAAGCTAATAATGAGGTAATGTTGATTTTTTAATGTGCCACTGTCTTTTATAGTACAGTTAACCAATTATTGTGGCTTGGTTAGAGTAATACAGAACATTTTAGCTTTTGAAAAGCTACTGGGTATTCAGTCCCTACTAGCACACAATAGAGACCCTTTTAGTTCTGAAATTCTCCATGCATAGTATTTCTTTAAATATTCCAACAAAGGTTTTTAAAAATACATTAAATTTAGTCCTTAAATAAATGGAATAGTATTTCATTGAAAATAAAGCTCATATGAGATTTCTTACACTTTAATATAATAAAATTTGCTAATGATGTTTGCTTAGTTAGTTGTTTAATACTCAGACTATGTATATAAAGGTTTTCCTTGAAGATATAGGAAAAAATCAAACCCTCCCTGTTGTTCAATCTTCTCTGTGTTCCATGTCATTCAAATATCTCCACCCTTTCCAGGAGGAAAAGGTTAGAAATTACATTAGAAACAAAGACTGAGAAGGTATAACAGACTTGGGTCGAAGTTTCAAAATAGCAAAAGGTGAGCATTCCTTTCAGAATGCCAAAGATCTTAAATAATAAAAGATCCTTTCCCCAGACAGATTGCCATGACTATCTGCAATGCTAAAGAATCAAAAAACCCAGAACAAAACAGGGTGCCTGACTCCAGAGCGTCCCCTTTGGGGATTCCAGTTAAGCACATTTTTTGGAATTCCTAGAGGATGGGTACATCTTTTGTGAGCTTTTGTGGCACAAGGCAAGGGGCCTGTGGGGGAGGGCTCAATGTGGCCACCTCTGACCATCAGATCTTGTACTGTGCTCTCAGAATAAGTTTCTCCTCTACTTCAAACTGCCCTTGTTCTGCATTCTTTAGTCCCACCTTGGAAATGACCATACAATTGTTTCCTTTTTTTCCCCAATTCTGTGGAGATGAGTGAAGCATACAAGGGTTTTTCTCGTCCATTTGAGTTAATGAAGATATACTTTAGATGAAAGACATTCACAATACAAATGTGACTGATACTCTGTGTTTTAATATTTGGGCAAAATTCTCATTCAAGCTGTAAGATTGTCTTTTCTCCACCATTTCCCAATTCATATTCTAAAAACTGGGAATCTTACTCTCTATCGTTGTTGCATAATTTTCTTAAGAACTGAATTCAGGTGTAGAATTAAACAGAAAGAATGGTAAAGAATATGGGCTTCAAGCTTGACAATGTTTCTGCTTATCTTTTATTTTCTGTAAAAATAAACCTCTTTAGCATTGGATGGGAGAGCATCAGGGAATTCCAGATTGGATGTGGGGGGTTATCCAGTTTGCAGGACACTTTAGTTTCAGTTACGTAAATCAGTATGGTTCGTTTTAGTGTTCTTCTATTTTGTTACCTTACGTTTAGCACAAAACAGTTATTTAATCAAAGAGTTCAAATATATGATTTTCATTTTAAGTATGCCTCTCTTTTTAAGCCTTCTGTTGAACAGATGGAATTAAGACTTAGATTTTCAGCAAAAGTAGACCGTCAAGAGATGATATTATATTAGAAATGGTAGTGTTACTCCCATTATGTTAAGAATGGTAGTACATACTTATCACACCTTATTTGCATTCTATTTAGAATAATATTTTCATCATCTAGGCAGTTTTTTTTAAATAGTTGAAAAACATTGTTAACAATGGCATACAGCAGGATTTTCACATATTGCACGTTAATCTTTTGCTAACTTATATGATAAACTAATGTAGGCAACATAAAAAGGTATAACTATTAAAAGAAAAATATTTCCCTTAGAGCCATAAAGCTTAAATATTTGGCTTCTTACATAGTTGTCTTCTTCTTAACCATAGGTTTAACAATATTTTTACCCTGGCATCTTCCCTATTTAAAATTTGTTCTCTAAGGATTGTGGTGCCAAAAGAAATATTGTTATTGGGAACAAACTTTTAAAATCATGTCTTCCCAGACTCTTTATAGGCTTTGCTATCGTGAATAGATAAATCAAATGTTGTATTGGATAATTATATTTTAAAGCAACTTCATTTGATCAAAACTTCTGGCCACAGTGATTGCAAAAGATTCGGATCACAATGTAACCTGCATAGAAACAGAAGATTCTATTCATTTTTGTGCTCAGGGAATTCTTCTCAAAATAATGTGTTACCTAATTCATCTTTCCCCTCCAGTTCTTTGTGGCCATTGTAAAAGAGTTTGGATCTAAGTTATCTTGCCTTGGTATCTGAAGGAAGAAAAGCAATTCTGAGAACATTACTGTCCATTTACTTTCTCCAGTAGCAGGAAATCATCTTTGGCTCCTGCTTTCCTCTGCATATCCCACACTTCCTTCAGCCATTTGACTTCATGGACATCAAATGCTTTTTACTGTACAATAATTAAATATGCTATAGCCACCCCCAATTTGATAGCATTACTTTGCTCAGATCAAATAAAAATGGAAATGTCTTGACAGCAGTGAGTAGAAAACTGGCTGTGAAAAAGTGCCACCAAATATCAAATTTAGCATTGTTGTTACTATTAAGGATGAAGAACAAATTGGACAGCCTATCTTTTTGGTATCCTTTTGGATACCAAAATAGATAAGGTGAATATAATTGCAAAATTCAGTGGCATGAAAATGATTGCGCAGCTTGAGCCTCCTTGTAAAAATTATCATTGTAATGATAAATGTACATGATAAGATCAATGATAATGATGGATACTGATAATGGAAACTAATCAAATATTTGTTCTCTGTCTAAAGTGGGAGACTAGCTGTTGGGTTTTTACATATATATTTCCTTATTCTGCACTATTTAATACAAAGTTATATTTGATCTGTGGATTCAATAGAGTTATATCTGTCCTTAGAATCTGCTAGGATTTGTAAATGGAGAACTCAGGGAATGCATACATGTTTTGCAAAGTATATCTGAGGTGTAGCATTGTCTTCTGTGGAATTTTTCTATATAGTACTGCTGTTTTTGTTCTTTGGTACTATTAAGTCTTCAGTATATGCATATTGAAGTGTTTGTGGCTTGTCTTCCCACTGTAGCTATTTCGTCTCTGTAAACATTTATCCTGTTGATTGGGATAACCTTCAAACCAACCTTGTTAAGAAAGAGATATTGGGGAGGGGGGAATTTTGCTGGGCACACAGAAACATTTTTGTATGTGCATTGAATTTAATGAATCTCAGTCAGAATGTTCATTTACTCTGTCTACATATGTATTGAACAGTCATATGGGGACCACCAATTGCTAAGGGCTACCAGTTGTCATGGGAAGAGTGTTGATTACAAGATGGGTGGGGCCATATATGGAGTGGGCCTGGATTTGAGGAAAAGAGAGTTCTTAATGCCTATTTTAGAACGTACTTTATGGTTTTTGTGTATTTTTCCCAATTCAAGTTTTCAACACTCATGCTCTGAGGCCCCAGAAAAGGGTCTTGGGGAAACACTGCAGTTCAGAGTTATGTGACATCTTCAATTTCTGACTGAAATAGATGTTTAGGCCTCCTTTGCCCCATGTTTCCAGGCCAATAAAATTGATTTTCTTAAATGGCTGCTTTAATGTTAATATCAAGAATAATTTCTCTTTGAGGAGTTTAATAGTTTCCAGGGATCAATGCCTTCCTATAAACTTCAAGTCCTCAACCATTTTTATATTTTCTGTAACTGTCTGACCCCATTTAATGGATTGTCTATTGTGACCTAACAATGTGGCTTGGCACATTTTGCAATCTGTCTTGGATAAGAAAATACAATATTTGGGGAATCTTGATCAAGTCTATTATCTTAGAAGAACTTACCTTGAAGGTATTCCTGATGCTGAAGCTGTGTAAATCCTTTCCTAGTCATATCAAGACAAAAGCTGTTCACAATATGCCAAATCAACCTTCTGACATCTAGAAAATGTAGATAAAAAGAAGCTTCTCTGTCCTGTATACCCAGCTCCCCTACACTGCCTCTTTCCTTGTCAATTTATTGGAGTTATACTCTTTTCCTTATATGACAAAAATGAAAATTGTAATGTGTGTTAGGAAAGGTGCTAATAAGGTAGTATTTGCTTTTCCTGGTCAGGATCTTAGAAAATAGTACTGGAATTGCAAGCTTTTCCTCATCAAACAAATTATGTTGATAAACAAGAATGCCACTTGAAAGACTAGTGTTATAAAAAAGATCTAACTTTCCACATTCAGGAAAAAGATGTTCATAAAGTCATAGATTTTTGTGTAGATAATACTTAATATTTAATTATTCCAATATTTATAAAATATGCACTCTAAAATTATTAAATGCCTTGTCTGAAAAAGTACTTATGATACATTGATATTTGAGTGTATTAATGTAAGGTATATATGTATGTAATATGGGTGTGTTTATTTATAGGAAATTATTGTGCTTTGTTTAAGGCAACTGATTATCTGGAACAAGATTAGAACTTTTCTTTAGGAACTTAAAGTATGCATATTTTATGTAAGGAATTTTATAAAAACTTACAGCTTATAGGGTAATTTCAACTTTATTTTATCTGTTTATTCCATTTATAACACATACGCACACATACAGACAAAAAATACCTAAGTGGCTCTGGGATGCTTATATAATGAGGGGAAGAAAACAATTAGGAATAAAAAGAAAATAAAGGCTATTTATTCACAGTTGCTCCATCTGGAGCCATTTATAGTGACAGTGTTGTTATAGTAAAGTTAGCAATTATGGCATTGTTGGCAAAGAAAACTAAAAGTATTCATTTCTTCCTAGTAAATCTAAAACCGTATGACAAACTGAAAGGATTTTCTCTTTCACATGAATAAAACCTGTAACAGGATTCCTAAATACTTTTATTAAAAATTGTAGTTATACCTTAGTGAAAATTAATAGTTATTCTAATTCAAGCAGGATTGAAATTCTAAAAACAAACTCTTATGAACCTTAACACCTTTAAATCTCTCATTGGAACCAGGAGAATTTAATTATGAGAAAATGTGTTCATTTTGGGATAAGTGATTTGACTATGAAGGAACGTAAAACATTTGCTCAAGGCCTATCTTTTGCCATCAATGCTGCCCATGAGCAAATGGAGCAGGTCTGGATACTTCTCTGTCTTGTACTATCAGAGGAAGCCATAAAATAACACCCATATCTGACTGAAATTCTGAGATTATGTAATTCCATGTCTCATTTCTTTGAACTTTCACTTGGCTTATGCTCTTTTGTTGTTGTTGTTTTTCAACATACCACAATATATGTCTAGCCATAACCGGTGAGATTCTAAAGTAGAAGCTAGCCCACTAATAACAAGATTTATGGTCATCATATTGCATGCTTGAATCCACAGTCACATAGTTGTCTTGTATGAATTTACTACTATAATCACTTACTGAATATATACATAGAAACAAAATAGCTTCTGCATGCATATTCCTTTCCAAGAAGTTATTTATTGTAGAAATTTGAAGTGATCTGTAAAATGGAAAACTATTTTATCCACATTTGCTGCTGCTTCCTAGGGACACAGCAGGTCAAGAAAGATTCAACAGTATTACCTCAGCCTATTACAGAAGTGCCAAGGGAATAATATTGGTATATGACATCACAAAGAAGGAGACATTTGATGATTTGCCAAAATGGATGAAAATGATTGATAAGGTAAGCTTCAGTTTCTCAAAATGAACAGGGCTGATTTTGGTCCTTAAAATAGGTTTAATGCCAGTGCTAAATTTAGCAGTACAGCTCTGAAGAGTTCTTCTAGTGCAATGTGGCCATTATGTAGATCTTTGAGTGTTAACTATTAATTCTCTATAGTATTGCATAATCAGGTATTTCCACATTGTTAATCGTTAAAATTGAACCCCTTGTACAAAATTAAATTCCATGAATGAGTTGTATGACCCTTTTAAAATAGGAAATGTTTATGATTTTTACATTTCATTGATTGATATTTAAGCATCAAGGCATTGAAAAGGCTGTTCTCTAAACATAAAACAAAAAAATAGCACTAAAATTCACAACTTTTTAGGTAGTTATATGTCATAAGTATTGAAATAAAGCCTTCCCTATCTAATATTATTCTGTACATTATTTTTCTATCTGTTTCCAATTCTTTTATAGTTACATAATAATAGTAAATCAATATACATCAAAAGCCACCAAAATAAAGCATAATCATTCATGATAATATGTGCACCGGTCAACAGTGTGATTTATGAAGAACATACTGGTCAAATATCTTCACTCTCTTTTATATGAAAACTACAGGCTCATCTGGAAACAGTCCATTGTATGATTTTGTGGTCCCGTTTCCCCCCCCCCCCAATTTTTCTTTCCAGTATGCCTCAGAAGATGCAGAGCTACTATTGGTTGGAAATAAGTTAGACTGTGAAGTGGACAGAGAGATTAGTCGGCAACAAGGAGAAAAAGTAGGTGAAGATAAAAGTCAACATTCATTCTTGTGGAAATGTGAAGTTCACAGAAGCTTAAAACTGAATATATTTGTATTATCAAATCTATTTCTGTTTGTTTGCCCTTAAATGTTTCTTAAGGCTAAGGTCTTACAAGTGATATACAGAATAAACCAATAATGTGATCACTAAGGATTTCTGATTAGTTTATATCAGGAGTCTATATCTCTTATGTCAGTTTCCAAATCTTGATATGTAAAAAATGGTGTAATTTTTTTCAGAGGAATTCTGACACTGAGGAATTTGCAAGGAAATAAAGATTTGCTAGGATAGGACTAGAAATCACCATAATGACAGTAAAAATAAAATTTTGAAAGACTAGATCAGCATATTTTCAATGTTAACTGTTTTTTAAAAAATGATTTTCAAAATATTGCCTATTTATAGTTAAAATTAGTTAAAAAAAATTAGTTATTGTAATATACAGTAAGCTTTAGGGTTACTTTTCTCAATTCAATGAAAGATTATTTGATTTTTGAGACTGAATTGACACAGTAATATAAAACTTTTGTTGTTTTTTCCCTAATAGTTTGCTCAGCAGATAACTGGGATGCGTTTTTGTGAAGCTAGTGCCAAGGATAATTTTAATGTGGATGAAATATTTTTAAAACTAGTTGATGACATTTTAAAAAAGGTAAATGATCTTTATACTGTAAGAAGCTAACTTCCTACAAAATTTAATATAAATAGACCTAGAATTCAGTGGGATATAGTCAGATAATTGTATATAAGATTGCAGCCTTAATATGCAGCCTATATAAGATTGCAGCCTTAATTGTATATAAGATTGCAGCCTTAATATGTTGACTGTTTAAAATATATTTATGAAACAATTTTAGGAGCTTTTAATTGCTGAATTATTTTTGCTTGTTTCAGTTGGCAGAAATAAAAATGTTTCCTAGGATAATTAATGTGAATGAATGTTAATTTATATAAGAAATAGGAAATTTTATGGATACTCCTTTAATATTACTTAAGAAATTAACATAATGTTAATTTAAGGTACAAATGTAGACTACGTTGTAAAAGCATTCTATGCTTACATTCTAGATTACGTATCTCGTACTTACAGCTTAGGTATTACATAAGGCTCTTCAAGTCATTTTGTGAGACTCACCCAAACACAGTAGAAGAGAATTCAGTTCTGTCTGTTTTGAACTCAAGGTAGACTATGGCTCTGAATATAAAACCGAAATCTGATATTCTGAAGAATGAGAAATGCTGTCAGATAGTGGCCAAAGTAACATGATTAAGAAAATAACCTTGTTGCATAATAAAAATTGTTTTTCTATTTAATTAATTTATGTTTAATTGTATACAATGATATTTTTAGTTTTCTTCATTTTTTATTTAAAAGTGCCTTGTATGAAAAACTAAAGAGCTGCCATTCTCAGGCTAATTAACCAGTCTTTGCATGGCATTTATGACTATTTTAACTTGAAAATAGATGTAAAGCAATATCAGCCTTGGCTACTTGAAGTTATGTGATTTCAACTCCCAGAATTCCCCAGACATACATCTTCATGTGGTCATAGTTGAGGAACATTGATGTAGAGAAAATATACAGCTAGTCCTTGACTTATGACCACAATTGAGCCTAAAGTTTCTGTTGCTAAGCAGGATAGTTGTTAAGTGAGTTTTTCCCCCATTTTACGAACTTTCTTGCCACATTCGTGAAATGAATCACCACCATTGCTAAGTTAGTAACACAGTTGTTAAGTGAATCTGGTTTACCCATTGACTTTGCTTGTCAGAAGGTTACAAAAGGTGATCACATGACCCCAGGACATTGCAACCATCATAAGTACATGCCAGTTTCCAAGTGTCTGAATTTTCATCATGTGACCCTGGAGATGCTACAATGGTCATAAGTGTGAAAAATTGTCATAAGTTTCTCTTTTCGATGCTTGTGTAGAACTATTGTAAGTTGAGGACTACTTATAGATATAAGTATATCTGCTTCAGTAGAATTCTGTGTAAGATGTTGCTGACGTGTGTTTTTGGTGTTCATTTAAGATGCCTTTGGATGTAATAAGAAATGAATTGTCCAACAGCATCCTGTCCCTACAGCCAGAACCAGAGATTCCACCAGAACTGCCTCCTCCAAGACCTCATGTCCGTTGTTGCTGACTTGCTATTGCTTGCCGCAGAATGGAAAAGATGACAAGCAAAAAGAAAGGGAGAAAGCTGTTTCATTCTGTACTACAATCATATGGCTGTTGTTTGTTGCACTTTGATTCAGAGTCAGAGCTACACACTAATTTGTAAATATGCAGATATGCAAACTAGATATGATAAGACTGTAACTGGTTAAATATTGCTCTTTCCACACTTTTTTTCACTTCTCTTTTCTCAGCCCTATAAATATTGTACAATTTGGTGGGAAACACAGTACAGCACTCCCAAACCTAGGATGTAAGAAATTAAATGCATACTTAATTATCTTCAACATAAATGTTGTAATAGTCCTCAGTATAAACAGAATCTCTTAGTATATGGTGCTTTGATAGTTTTTTTAAAAAAAATATTTTAAATTTCAACTCGACATATATAAAGCTTTCTAAAGCAGCATTATGTCTTATAAATTCAAATAAATTTCTGGTAAAACACTTATGTGTATGATAATTCAGAAGTAAGTTCTTGGTCCCTGGGTTCACAGGTTTATTCTATGGTAGGGATCGATAGATTTGAAGCCTTTGAATGCAGTCCATCAAGTATCATAATAGGCCTCCAATCACTTCAACAGGTGATTTCAGGCAGGTACTGCTGAGGTGAAGATGGATAATATAACAGAAGGATTGAATTCTGAACACCCAGGCAAATAGTGTCAGCAGTACTTCTTTATTTATTAACTTTCACCTTTGGGGAAGGGGCTGTATGTGGCACTGTGTTCTGTGTAGTTTTTAAAGGATGAATTGGCACTTTGACCTCATTAGTGTCTCAAACATAAATTAATGAGCAGTCAGATACTGTATAAAGCAGAGAAATATTTGCAAATTATTTTTTAAAAAAAGGTTTAAGAGTTATTTCTTCTGTCATAGATAAATTTGTTTAAAGTTATTTTTAAACCATTTCCTATGTTATAAGGAATAATGTATGTTTATTTGTCTGAAATAAATTGGAGATATACACATATATATGTGTATGTATATACACACACACATATATATATATATACACACACACACACGTGTGTATGTATGTATGTATGTATGTAACTTTATTCCAATCAAAAGTTCTAAGCTAAAGAGGGATTTGATTTTTTTTTTAATTTTTATTTTGGTCATAAGGAATTTGCGAACTGTATCTTTTTGGTATATCTTTATTAAATCTGCACTGTATATCTTAGTTGTGGTAAACCAGTAGTTTTGTATTTGAATAATTTGATAAGTCTTTAATGTTGTGGTATTGAAAAGCATTGTCGTTCTATACTAATGACGTGCCAATAAACTTTTGTATTTATGAATGACAGTGGAACTGCATCTCTTACTGGAATGCCAAATCTCAAATACTGTCCTCCTGAAGATCCAATTTTGAGAGAAATTTATAAAATTATCTCTATAATTGGTTAAACCTGTATATGTGGATGTATTGACTTACAAGAATCTTATGCATGCTTTCTCAGTTGTGAATTCTATTGAATTCAATGCAATTCAATCCAATATCGGTGTTTAGGACTAAAACTGCTACTCTGCGGCATTATTTTGTTACAGTATTTTAAAATACTGTAGCAAGAGTAATGATGGTTTATCAATGCATGGACTTCAGTTGTATATACTAAGCAATTAGTCTGGATTTTGACTTTTCTGAAATGTTTTCTTCAGATTTCTGAGACATAAAAAGCTACAGTTTAAGTATACAAAATAGTTTTTATTGAACTCAGTACACTTCATTTAAATCATTTAGGTCCAAATAATAAAAAAATGCACAATTGAAATGTATTTCTTCTACCACAATGTGCCTATACAAGTGTCATTCTTCATACAGATACTTTAAGGCTTTTTACCATGATAATTAGATGAAGTTTGCCATTTTTGTACCACTGTAAACTTGTATTATAGGTGATAACAATGAAAACAGACTTATGGACAATACATTTAAACTTGATAAACATTTAGGTGATTTTTCCCTGTATTTAAAATGTGTTGTTTGCTTTCAATTCTTGAATAAAAGTATAAGAAAACAGATCTATATACATGTTTATATCCTACTGGCACTGTTTCTTCTAATTCATTCCATGGAGGAATTTATATATTTTTGATGCTAGCAGGCCTTCAGGTGATGACTAAATACCCATAAGACTTTAAAAGACCTTGGCTAAAACCCGTAGTAACAAGGAAAGCCCATTAGGGGTCACTGGTTCACTTTCTATAAAATATTTTGCTATTGCACAATATTTCTTAACTGATACTTTGAACTGCACTTTTTTTTTTCTTTACTACAGGTTTAATACAAAAACAGAATTGTTGCCCCCCCAAAAAATGCAAAAAGCAAGCTTGCGCCTCCAAACAAGGGCATTAGGGAAAACATAATCAAAGAAATTCCATTAATGTGAGCTACTTGGGAACAAGGGAGTGATGATCTAAGCTAAGGCTTAGAGTCTAAGGCCCTTTTTAACAATAGTTCTGGAAAATTAGAAAACCTATTATTGATTAGGATGTAAATAAGAAATAATCACAGATTTCAAAAACAATTAAAGTTGCAGTTGCTGAATGTATGAAATCATCACCATCTATCCCCCTTGTTTAAAAGATTCCCAGTGATGGGAACAGCCACTTCTCTATACAACAAGTCTACTGCCCAATTACTCTTAATGACATTTTTTTTAATCCTAACATTGTCAGAATCCACATTCTTGTAATTTAAGACCATGATTCCATATTTGTATTCTGTTAACAATGGAAAATACAATAAGTCGTGGTGTTCTATGTGGCATCTTTTTAGAAGAATGCTATCCCAGTTTGGTAACTCTTCTCAATCAAACATACATATTATGTTTTTCTCCAAGGGACTTTGTAGTGTTCTGATTTTCTTCATTGCCCTTCTTTAGAACTAGGCTGTCTCACTATGCTATTCACCTCAGTAGCTTTGAGAATTTCATGTATTTTAGTTTCACTAGAGGTGGTATTTGCTATAAGATGGCAGTTATTCCTGGGAAAAATTCCTGGATAACACACAAGGTCTCTGAAAGGGAACAGAATGCTGCTTTGGCCCAGAATTATATAGGTGCCAATGCTTTATTGACAATATTTCACTAGATTGCTTAACTCCCACCACCACCATTTAATCTCTTTATTCGTAGAGATTTTAAGGTCATGTCAGTTACTTGCTCCTGGTGTGTCTGCTCGACTGCTTTCTTAAATCAGGAAGTTGTGAGTTTTAGTTCTGCCTTAGGCAGGAAAAGCCAGCTGTGTGACTGGGCCAACTCACAAGATTGCAATTGTGGGGAAAATAGGAATAAGATGTTTTGTCATCTTGAATTATTTATAAAAACAACAAAGGCGGCATTTAAAAAGAGAACTGTACTTTTTTCTAAAACTCAGTGTAGAATTTAACAATTGGCATCAAGATACAGAAAACCAGCTATGTTATAGGGTAAGACACTGAGGAGGCATTCTGATGTTCTGCAGTTATTTTTAACTATAATTTCCAGTCTCTTTATTAGTCATGCTAGTTGGGTCTGACAAAATTGACCAACTTTGAGAGTTGCCTCCTTTGCTCTAGCAGGGGTGTCAAACTGGTGGCCCACGGTCCAGATGTGTCACACAAGGCCATGGCCACCCCAGCTCTGTGAAGGAGAAAACGTCATGAAATTTGAGATGGCAACATGATGCTGTGAGTTTGATATCTGCACTAAAGTTAAGCCTTTTGATAATTTAAAGCAGTCACACACACGATGCATTTGGTTCAGTAACTAAAATATAAATCACATATGTTTAAGATAGCAGCCATGCAAAAGGTCTTTAAGGTGCCTCAAATCTCAGAAATATATAGATCAGTTGACTTAAATGGATCCTCCAAGTCTGTTTAAATGCATTTTTGTGTCACAGCTGTGTAATGTTTCTAAACACATTTCAGGTGAATAATACATTTCATAGAAATAAACCAATGGCATTAGTGTTTGTAATGGATTTCTATCTACCCATTTAAAAGTGGGGGAGGCACCTAGAAACAATTTTGAAATATGTTCATGTCCAGTCTTTGCTTAAATTGAAGAAATTGGACAAATTATTGATAACCTTTGGTTGGTACAATACACTCATAAAAATTTAGAGAAAGCTGGATTCTTGAAACTCTTGGATACAGCTAGGATTGTGGCAGTAGGTACAGCTTGCACTAATAAAGAAGTGTCATTTGAAAAGAAAGTAGGACGGGATAGCATGATCTATTTGATACATGCATAAGTTTGGAACAAGCAAAATGAAAAAAATAAAAACAATTTCCAAGAGGAATCCTGAAATAGGACAATGGAAGGCACTTTAGCAATTACAATCGATAGCTCTGCCAGAGACTTGTTTTCAAAAAATGAACCATATCATTTAAGCCAGTCTGATATATTTCAGCATGGTCAGCCATCTCTGAAATGGGCTTCTATTTTTAGAAGATAAAATAGATAACATTTGTAGAATATTTGATGAAGAAAAACTTTTAAAAGCAGTATGTCCTTCAGTTTTCTTGCTGTCAAAATGTATTAACGCCACAGTTTTATCTGTACCTAGAGTTGAGCAGGATGTAGCAAATTCTTCATTACATTAAAGTCTTTGGTGCAATAAAAGAGAACATGTTCTGTTCAGTTTTTTTATCTCTATATACTATAAAATCAACAATATTATGCTCTATATGGGATACTGGGTTGGTGTAGCTGAAAATTCTGAAAAATTGGTTGTCAAATTTATGTTTGTACAAGTTTAACATGCTAATGAGTAGGAAAATACATAACAAGAGCAGTAAAGCAATGATTTTGCATTTTCATGGTATGTTTTTAGATCCTTGAAAGGTGAGGACTTCCCTGTGATAAGACTAGCCAACATATGTGAGATTTATACAAAACCGGGTTGGTCCAAATAGCCCTGACTGTTCAATGACCTATTCATGGAACCAGCATTTATTATTTCTTGGACACATGTGGACTGACCTTGTTTTTGAAAATCCACAAAAGAATCACCATATTTTAACTCCAAAGGATATCTTGGCCTTGGAAAATTTTAAGTGTGGAGGCTATAGTTGCCCTACTTTAGAAATAGAACAATTCAGAATAGTGTTTACCGTATGGTGGGCAGTTGTTTACAGAGTAGTTAAATGTGTTTTCTATAAAAGGGGCTTAGGAAAGGTGATACCTAGGTATTTAAAACAGAGGTATTGCTCAATTTGTTGGGCATTAGTTTAGTTTACTTTTTTGTCATTGCAACTCATACAATGAAATTAAACATTAATTGTCTGTGTTTAGTATTATTTTTACCAAAGACTCCTATCTTTGTTTTGTTATAATTTATCCTCAGTTTTTCCCTTCCACAGTAAATATTTAATCTGGCTAATAATCTGTTATACACAGGGATGGGCTTCAGCCAGTTCATGCCAGTTTGGGCGAACCGGATGTTAATTTGGCATCCAGTTCAGCGAACTGGTAATTCTGATGACCAATTGGCCACACCCCACCCCGCCTCTCCTAGGAATTCCCAGGTGGCCCGTTTTAGATACCAAGTAAGTTCAGGGGGCTTGTGGAGCCCAGGGAGGTGGCAAATGGGCCTCCTAGAGACTCGTGGAGGTTGAAAATGGGCCTATTTCCAGCCTCCAGAGAGCTTCTGGAGTCCAGGGAGGTGAGAAAAAAGGCCCACCACAGCTTCCAGGATGGTGCAGGAGGCTGACTAGGCCATGCCCACTATGGCCATGCTCACCCAGCAACCAGGTAGAGAACCAGTTGTTAAATTATTTGAAGTCCACCACTGGTTATACCAGAAATAAGAACGATGATATCAGCATATAAAAACATAGAAATTTTCTCTCCATTAAATGGGGAGGAAAAACATTATACATTAATGGACACTACAATAGCATTAATATGTAAGTTAAATAATAAGGCAGTAAGTAAACAGCCCTGTTTAACTCCTCTCCGATAAAGCAGGGCCTGACAAGGACCCTTGTGGGCTTATCCTTACTCTAATGTTAGTATATAATTCAATTATAAGTTTGAGAAAGTGCTTGTAGGTATCTGTCCTGGCTAGTTTCTCCCAAAACTGAGACCTGTCAAGGGAATTAGAGTGAAGATAAGGTCAATAAAAGTGACATAGAGTTGTTTTATATGTCTATTGGTTTGTTTAAATAAGGGATTTCAAAGTGGCACTAAAAGTAAGAGGGGTATTTCCTTCCATTCAACCTGGCCCTAAGAATCAAGAGTAACGTGGAGTTATTTCTGAGCAGTTTCATTTATTGTTTCTCACTTATAGACAAAATATGGTCAATCTAAAGCAATTATTTGTATCACTATAGATAACATTCTGGGAAGAGCCATTTTCACATTCTTTCTTCCAACTATGTTTCTCTGTCTTTTCCCACTCTGGAATGTAGCCTTCCCTTCTGGGAATCAGACTTACAATCTTCTAGTTTGTAACCTGATGTCTTAACCACTGGACCAAATTGGTTCTCACTGAACTGTGTATATTTCTCGAAGTAAAATTGTTTTACCTACTCTCTGAAGAACCACCACTACAACAAAAGCCATTGATGTTCAAATGGTAGCAAAGTCTCTATTTTTGAATGAAGTAATAAAAAGTATGTTTGTGGCAAAATAAACAAATTCTTGCATATCACTTTTTCCAGCTTGTGTAGACATACATGCCTGGATAGAAGCATATAATCTTTTCTAGGCAAAGTTCTATGTCTTTTGCATCAGCAAGAAGAGGCTCATTTTGCTCATATATAATAGAAGGGCATCCATTTCATCCAGCCGCTTTGTTATTTTTATGCAGCATGACTCACAAGAGCAGAGCACAAGATTAGTAGGTGGAACTGATTATATAGGATCTTTGTTTACCTGTTATGCAGTTTCCTAGGTGGAACTAATTACATAGCATCTTTATTTACCTGTTATGCAGCTGCCTAAGAAAGGAGCCTAGGTTAAAGAAAGTCATTAAAAGTAGGTAAGGATGAAAGACCTAATGCTAGGAAAAGCTCGCTCTTTTAAAATGCT